TGAACTTCCCACGCTCCTGTTGGGGGCTAAGAACACACTTATCTCCCTGAGCATGGCCTTCCTAAGCCCATTCCATCACACATACATATATACACACACGTATATACACACCCATATATTTCACACACACACACATATATATATATATATATGTATATATGTGTGTGTGTGTAATTTTTATTTTATATATAATTATATATATGTGTGTGTGTGTGTGTGTAAGTGTGTATAGTGTTACACTAATATAGAAAGTCCATTTGCAGATTAAGGTACCATCAAACTATGAGGTACCCAGGACTTGTTCATCACATCTGCAAGGCGAGGAGGCAGCCTGGGAAAGAAGGGGAAGGGAGGGGCCATCTGGTTGCTATTTACCTTGGAGATTTTATTCAGGGTGGGAAATGAATGGGGGGGGGGAAGCTGGAATCACCCAGCGCGCTAGGCCAATAGGCAAGCCACCTACATGATGGCTTTCCATGTTGAGTAAATGCAGCCAAGGTCTGAAATCAACACCTCTATAGCTCTTAAGTGTCCAGAGAAAGTTGGATGGGAGCACAGCATCTGCAGAACAAGAACTCCTGGGAGAAGTGGCTGCACTAGAAGTGTCTACAGGGAGGGGGGTCAAAAAGTCAAGATGGCAGCCACAACCATGCAATCAAAGCCCACCGTGAAAGCTTTGATCATATGGGTGGGCTGCCATCTTAACTTTTTTGATCCTACCCATGGATGCCCCAGGGCTACATACAGGCAACAGGAAGGGGAATGCAGCGTAGATTTATGGCTTTCGATAGCTGCTGGAAAAATGGCACACTGGCGTGGCGGCTTCCACTGCCAGCAATAACACGGGAAGGGAGTTACACAAATTATTATTTTACCACATGCATAGATTTCAGGGGCTCTGTGAACTTGGATGGGAAAAAATAACAAGTTTATTTTCACTACCCTCTACCTGAAATTCAGCTGAGAAAGGGTGCATAGGTTTCACCCGATTCTCAAAGGGGTCCATAGCACAGAAAGGAAAATCCCTGGAGTATCTCTTTGGATCAAATTTCAGCTATTGAAGCAAGACAGACCCGGCTATGAACAATCAACTCTCTTAGCCAGCTACAAGTCTCAACAATTCCTAACCAGCTTTCTAAATCCTTTCCTCTGGCTGACACGCCAGTTACTCCAGAATCATTTATAGCAATTATGACTATGAAACAGGATCCCACCCCATTCAGACTAATCAGGGATACCGCCAGCACTAAGGATCTTCTTTTAAAAAGATCCTAGAAGCAAATCCTGTTGTTCTGCTGTAGGCTCCCTAACCTGGTCAAGGACAGATGTGCTGAGACCACAACTCGCAAAGTACGCAGCCCACCTGGCAGATTCTTAGCACATTTGGAAGGCGCCGGGTTAGGGAAGGCTGTTGTAGCAGACACAACTCCGCCCCTGCCAAGGCTGGAGGGACACGCAGATCGCTCCCCAGGAAATATCTGCTTCCCAGTTGTCTTTATGATTACAGATGGGCCTAGAGCCGCCTGAGAAGGGAAACTCCAGCCAGGCGCTTCCTGAATTGATTTTCCGCTCAGCGTCCAGCAGCAGGAAATGTGGCTGTTTTCCCAGTGAGTCTTGAGAAGCCTTGATGCAGAAAGGTCTGCCAGGAAGGAGAGACAGACTGGGGAGGGTTTGGGGGCCACATCCTTTTTTTTCCCAAACCAATCGGGTGGGATTCCCAATTTGGAGAATGAAAGAGAACAGAGGAAGCAAAGCTCTACCCAGGCCTTGCTGAAAAGCCTGTTGCAAGCCCACCTTGGAGCTTCACAGAAGGGCATCTCTGCTAAGGTTGCTGAATAAAACACAATTGTCTGGCTTCATAGATTGTGCTAGCAAGTGTTTTAAAAGCCACAGTGGCTGGGTGGTTATAAGCCATATTAAGATGTGGGAAGCAGTCAGTAAGAAGAGCGTTTCTGGATCAGAAGAAGGATCTTTCTAGTCTAGCATCCTGCTTCCTCTAATAGTTACCTAGATGCCCACCCACCTATGTTCATATGCAGGATCCAAAGACAGTAACCTTTCCTTCATCCCCAGCATTTGACACTCACCGGTAGAAAACGGCTGAACGTGAGGTTCCTTTTTTTGCTACCACAAGAACAACGACTAACAAACCTAACCATTTCCATTAATTTGCCTGATCCCTTTTATAACCATTTCTTCTGTAAACAGAATTCAGTTCTTCAAGCTTCAGATGATTGTTGAAAACTTTATTCCAGAAGACGTTAGACTGTAAAGTTGGCAGGAACCATTTAGCCACCTGCTCAGTGGGAGAGACCGATATGTCATTTGGAGAGGCCACTTCAGCACTTCTTCTATCCTTCTGCAAAAACCCTTTCCTCGTCACCAGTGCAACTTCTAACCCTGTCAGTGTTTTTCAGACTTGGCTGGGGAATTCTGGGAGTTGAAGTCCACACATCTTAAAGTCGCCAAGTTTGAAAAACACCACCCTAAATAAAGCTTGCGGGCAGCCTGTCCCACCAATACTTTCACTGCAGAACCACCTTCAGCTTCTGGGGGGCACCCTGTGCTGACTAGTTCGTAGTTTGCAGTTCTCCTTCACTTGCCGATACAAAAGTCCTTGAAGATGATTGCCAAGAGCTCTTCGGTCCCCACTTGGCCCGTCAGCCGTCCTAGCTGTCGCCGTGCCTGTCGCAGCTGCTCAGCAGCCAACACAAGATCCGTAGGCTGGTACTGAGCAAAGCATCGCAGGGCTTCCAGGCATTTCTGCAAGCTGAGCTGGTGACGTGCTTTTGTTGGACTGGGGGAACCAGTCCGGGGGTCACCACACCTGCAGGGCGAGAGGATGAGATTTGCAGTTCTTAAGTAGAAGATTGATTGGCAGGCATGGAATTGTGCTGGGGTGTTACTTGTATTAAAAGGAAATGTGCAACATCTGAGCATCTATAGCCGAGATACACAGAAGAATGCCTCAATATGTATGTATGCCTAAGGTCCAAGGTCCTATCCCCAACTCCTTAAAGAGATTATCTAAGGCCACGTCCACACAACTTCTTTGATGTACTCTTCTACCATTCTGCAGCTGGCAGGAAATCATGCTGCCCTTTATTCTGCTGCCCCCACAGGGCACCCTTACCATGCACCCAGAACAAGTCCACACTGTGCTGTTCTCTGTACAACTTTAATGCACCACATTCTAAGGACCATGATTGGCAGTCCCCTCATCAGATATTTCAGCTCCACCCAACATCATCCTCCATGTAAAAAGTCTCTTCCAACTGGTGGGCATGATACTCTGGATACTCTGCACAATGCATTTTTTTTCTTTTTTCTTTCCAGTCATATCATTAATTTCCCCCCCTTATAATTATGGGTCAACCATCTGACCACTAGATGCCAGCAATAAGTAAAGAATCTGTTGTATCTCATGGTTGCCAACTTGTGGTCATCTGGATTTGAGTACTCAGCCAATGGGTAACTTTGGCTGAAGAATTGGGCTGTGCTTGGGCATCAGTATGGAAGTTGTGAAGTACCTAAGCACATTACTCAAGGAGAGAAAGCGAGGACTCGGGGCTTCCATAGGAGCAGCAACCACTGGCAAGGGAACTCCCTGATGCAGAAGTACAAGAAATATGACTTCTTTCAATCACATTTGTTAATCCAGGAGCAAGCTACTCAGTTTCAAGCCTTCATACTCTTAAATGGACAAATCCATTTAGAAATGAAGAAAGTGGATGCCAAAGTTAGGGTTCTAACCTCCTTTGCAACCCAATCAGCATTGCAGAACATGCTCCAAACCCAAGGAATGGATGGATGGGAGTGGTTCCCCAGCAGACCCAGAGACCAAATGGGGCTGAGCAGATTACCCTGCCTCCCACAATTGGGTCATTTCAAGCTGCCTCCTTCAATGACCATGGATTGTCTGGATGGAATGTCTTGAGCTGGGATAAGAAGGAAAACACCACCTCCAAAGCAGAAGATCTAAAGCTGTTTTTGGGCTGCTGACCTGAGTATGTATCCTCTGGAGAGAATTAGTAAGGCATCATTGTCCTAGGGCAAGGAAGCCATGTGGATGTAACAGAACACTTTTAGGAACCAACTCCATTTATTAATGGAGATACTCAGCTTGGGACTCATTTTTGTCCAGAATACTGTATACTGTAATTTTGCACTAAGAAAAGAACATTTTGCAAAGGCAGAGTGAGAAGCTAAATAGGGCTCTTGGGAATAGGCTCCAGTTCCTATCTCTCAGTGCTCTGATACATGAGATGGAGTAGGTGGGAAGGATAACTATTAAACATAAGGAAAACATCCTTTTACACGGCATAATTTATCCCTATGAGAGAATTTTCATGGCATAGGAAAAAATGAATTTTTTCTCCTGATGGCAAGATTTCCTCTCCCTGAGAACTGCAATTTTTTTTCTAAAAACATCACAGAAAAATCCATATTGCATAAGTAATTCAAGCCACAGAGTTTTAAATACACATTCCTTACAATATATACGTCCACCCTCAATTCTCCCCATTGCCTTCTCTTCTCCTGTTCTCACATGTGAGCCAGCTGTTCCTGCAATGCATTCAGGAAGACCACAATCCCATCTCCAGTTTTGCAGGATAACAAGCAGGCAGGGCCTACACCTAGTCTGTCACAGGTCATCAGGAGATCCGCTTGGTCCTCTTCTCCAAGTAGGTCTATTTTGTTCAGAACCAGAAGGTAGGGCTGTGTCCCATTGGGCTCGTTGGGAGACCGAACATCTGCCACGGAGAGAGCTAGGTGGTCAGGCTGCTGAGCTGCTACTTTCCCATCCAGAATGACCAGAACAAGGTCAGCATCATGCACCCTACAAGTAAATAAAAAAAAAAAAAAAGGCTTTAATTCTCTCCTAAGCACCAAGAATCTTTGCAAGCTTCCTGATTATAAGCTTCAGTTCTGAGAGCCATCTTAGGGTTTATTGTAAGAGATGTCCCCACTGGAAGGATGCATCTCATAATGAAGCTAAGGCCTTTTTCGCATTGCAGCCTTAACTACTACACCCACACACATGGAGTGGAAAGGAAGCCAGCTTAAGAAATCCATTTCTGAATTTCCATCCCTTCCTCTGTTTTGAACACAGTGATGGCCAGATGTTCTGTCTGGACCACATTTATTGTGGCTCCCAACTGATGGATTTTTCTTCTGCGTCCTTATTAGGAAAGCAAGCACCAATCACTTTTCTTTTGTGGGTAGTGTTTGAGGTCATGTAATTTTTACTGTGAGCCCAATATGCTGGGGAATTCTGGGAGTTGAAGTCCACCCATCTTAAAGTGGCCAAGGTTGAGAAAGACTGCACTGGGACTGGATGGGGATGGAGGCAATCAAATCAGGAAAGGGATTGACGAGAAAGACGGCCAATTTCATGCCAGTAAAAATTTTTGTTGACTCAAGGATGGACAGGTAGCACTGTTCCTCAGCAGAGGGGAAGACCCTTAGACAACCACAATTAACCATAACTACTCAGTGAAATCTGTTGAGCCAGTTTATCTTTGCCTGGCAGACTTTTACTTCTTACAGCCACCTAGCCAACCACTACTGGAAACTGGATGCTGGGTTCCCTTCTTACATCTTCATGTCCTGTATTGCAATATTTGCTGGGTGGCGACAGATGGCAAGTGTAGGGTCCAAATACTGCTCCCAATGCATAGTCCCTTCCCTTTCTGATCCTCCCCTTCCACAATTCCTTTCACCTCTGCCGAGCCCGGCTCACTCCTTCCATCTCAACCACGTCGGTGGTCTGTCGCAGGCCTGCTGTGTCACTTAGCACCACAGGGAAGCCACCAATGTTCAAGGCAGTCTCTACCACATCTCGAGTGGTCCCTGCCACTGGAGAGACTATAGCAGTTGGCTTTTGACCTAGAGGGGGAAGACTGAATCAGTCAAGAAGGGGAAGAGAGACAGTGGCTACATTCACATGATATGCTTGGCTTGGTTACTGAATTTACCCACTTGCTGGGTTCATGCAGTACAATGAACCATAATCTAACCCAGTGTTTCTCAACCTTGGCAACTTTAAGATGGGTGGACTTCAACTCCCACAATTCCCCAGCATATTATGGGCTAACAGTAAAAATTACATGACCTCAAACACTAACCCACAAAAGAAAAGTGATTGGTGCTTGCTTTCCTAGTAAGGATGCAGAAGAAAAATCCATCAATTGGGAGCCATGATAAATGTGGTCCAGACAGAACATCTGGCCATCACCATGTTCAAAATGCTGGCTGGGGAATTCTGGGAGTTGAAGTCCACACATATTAAAGTTGTCAAGGCTGAGAAACACTGATCTAACCAATTGTCTGGATACTCAAAACAGGCTAAGCCAACACCCCAAAACAAGATTAACAAGATTCTGTTTAGAGATCCAGTGATATGGTAGGGATGGTGTGGAACCAGGTCCAGGGAGACCCAGATCCAATGCAACCTTATCCATGGAAGCTTATTGGGTGACTGTATGCCAGTCACTCTCTCTTAGCCCAACCTCTGTCCTAAGGTTGCAGTAAGAAAAATCAGAGGAAGGAGTGCTATGTACCTTCTTAGAAAAACTCCTAAAGAAAAGCAGAGTATACCTCTAAGGATGGTATAATGGTATATAAGGTATAATGCATTCACCTAAGCTTAGCATGTTGTCTGAGGCTGCTAAGTTTTAGCTGAATTGGTCAAGCTACATAAACTAATCCAAGCCGTGAGTGTAAACTATAAATTCCCAATCCCCCTGCAGAGACCTTATATGTAATTCTTGGAAGTAAAAATGATTTCTTTTGCAGCATACTCATTTCCTTTTAGGTTTTTTTTAAAATTTAAAACAACATAGGGGGGAAAAAAACTGTGTGGGAGTATCCTTGTATCAGGAACCTCAAGCCATTAAGAGTTTCCTGGACCATAAATGGTTGCCACAATATAGAAAAGGACAATATGACTATAGTCTCCCTTAAAGCTGAAAGACAGGAATTCTTTTGAAAGACATCAGAAGACGTTTCCAGTGTCTGGAAACCACCCTCCTTAAAATAATTTAAACGATTAAAAGTGAACTCTCCTTGACTATTCATGGAATAACACAAAGCTAATTAAAATGACAAAAGGGCGAAGATCTTAGCATGCTTTGGGTGAATATACATTTGCTTGGCATATTCTTGGTTTGCTCGTGGTTTGGTAACTATTCTCATATCCTAGCCATGTTGACTTCTGAGATTCTGTCCAAATGGATCTTCCTCTGATGTGCAACAGAGAGGATTTCAATTTCTAAAAAATACCTTTCCTATCTGACAGCCTTTACTCGTCTATAGTTTTTTAACAATTCATTGTATTTACCTTTGTAGCACACCCCATGGGATAGGTTTGGGTGCTGTGGCCACTTGCTACCATCATATATTGTATTTATATTATATTATATTATATTATATTATATTATATTATATTATATTATATTTTTAATTGATTTTAACTGCTTTGTAAACCACCCAGAGTTGTTTTTTAACGAGATGGGCGGTGACAAATTTTATATTTATACACACATTCATTCATTCATTCATTCATTCATTCATTCATTCATTCATTCATTCCCTTGCAACTTTTACTGATTTGGGACATTTAAGTGTGAAACTGCTGAGAGTCCTGCTAGTTTCTCCTTCCAGGCCAAGACTGGAAGAACGGTAAAGCTGCTCACTTTTCACCTACATCTAAACAATAGCCCAGCTGACAGGTTGGCAGACTAAAGCAGTGTTTTTAAACCTTTATAACTTTAAAATATGTGGACTTCAACTCCCAGAATTCTCTGGGCTGGAGAACCACCAAGAGTTTAACCTGACCTCCCTCTTCCATTCCACCAACCTGCTGGCCAGACTACTTTTGGACAGAGGTTTATTGGTGTTGTAGAAGACTGATAGACAGGTTTACCATTCTCTCTGTCACTTGGGCTTTCAGAAGACCAGTAGACCTGTGTTCGGAAACAGTTGTCAAAGAAAGAGATGAATCGCTCAAAGAATAAATGTCAGTGTGTTAAGTAGAATGTGCCTGTTGTGGAAGCAAGAATGGTTGTAAAGATAGAAAAGGATGAGAAATACTGTGAATGGTATCAGTGTAAAATACATTTAGTTAGATTTCCTTTTCTTTTTCTTATCTCATGCCTTTTTTTTTTTTTTGCTTACAATTTCTTATTCCTTTTTAGTAGTTTTGTATAACTGAAGCAGTCTTAGGATTGCTCTTCTTTGTTACTCGGAGGACAGTAGTGTTTTTAAATGGACTTCCTTGTTATTGTTTTATTTCCTTGAATTCTCTCAGAACAAATTGTAGTATTGTTAATATTCTAACAATATTTTTTTCCTGAGGAATCGTTTACATGCTTTGCTATTGTAGTATGCTATTTCTGGAAAATTGCATTTTGATCCTTTTTTCCATGCTAAATTGATATTATGGGGTAATCCAGACATTAAAGTTGATTTTAAAAACTATTATAAGGAAAATTTAGATAGATGCTGGGATTTTTACTTTAGACCATGATATTGATACGTTTTTATTATTTCATATTAAAGAACAAATATAATTTTCTTTATGTCATTGACTGGCAATATTTACAACCACAACATTTATTTTTGATTTGGACCAATGCATTTTCAGTTTCAGAGATCATTCAAAGTAATTACCAAATCTTATGAGACTAAAAATCCCACAATTAGTCTTTATAAATACTTGTTAAAAAATCAATTTGATAAGCACATTTTAAAGAATGAATCAGATAATGAGTGGGAGTTCTCCATTTTGTCTAAACCATAAGAGACTATCTTAATATCTGTACCAAAATTTCCACAGATCTTAGTCTATGGCTTATCAACAAAAATATTTTGGACTTATTGGACTCCATCACATTTATACAGAAGAGGAATGAGTAAATCGTTATGTTGTTGGACTTGCAATGAAAATAATGCTTCATACAAACATATGTTTTTGCAATGGCCTAAAATCATGATATTCTGGGAAGAAATCATTACTTATTTCGGTCTGAATCAGGTTCTCCATATTCTTTTGGATTACATAATTACTATATGCAAATCAACAGTTGGATAGTGGAAAGGGATTCTTCATGTCCTTCTTACAGCTAACAGCCATGTTCTTTAACACTGGGAAGATGAACTTACGGCCCCAGTTATTCAATAGACTGGGTGCTATTTGCAACTTATGAACAAGTTGCTTACAGACAAAGATTATCTAAAAACAATTATAATAAAATATGGTCACCCTCTATTGAAACTTAAAAGTATATAAGTATGTATGTGTATGTACAGATAGTCCTCTGCTTATAATGGTAATTGGGACTGGAATTTCTGTCACTAAGTGATGCGACTGAAAAGTGCAATTGCATTGCTTAGCGATGGCAATCACTGAAGTCCCAGTTACTGTCATTAACTGAATCCCACAGTCATTAGGTGAGGCAACTTCCTGTTGGCTTCCCACAACTAAGTCAGTGGGAAGCTGGCAGGAAGTTGCAAGTCCCAGGTGGCTTGCAAGCAGTCCAGCAGGCAGATAAGTGGCTGCTGCTGGATGGGGGAGGGTGGGAGGAGGTGCGCAAGGGAGGTGTGGCCAGGCTCGGGGAGGGTTCACTGGGATGAGAGGGGGTGTGTGAGGGAGGTGCAACAAGGGTCAGGGAGGGTATGCAGGGGTGTACAAGTGCCTGCCGTGAGCACAGAAGGGCTGGGAAAGGGTGCGCGGGTGGGTGAGACTTATCCAGTGACTTGCAACCTTCACTGCCAGCTTCCTCATTGAATATATACACACACACAGGTAGTCCTCAGTTAACAACCACTCGTTCAGTGACCATTTGAAGTTATGACAGTGCTGAACGAGGAGACTTACTACCAATCCTCGAAGTTGCAGCCATCATAGCATCCCCGGGGTCATGTGATTGCGATTCGGGTGCTTGGCAACCAGATCACAATTATGACTGTCGCAGTCTCCCACAGTCATGTGGTCGCCATTTGCAACCTTCACTGCTGACTTCTGACAAGCAAAGTCAGTGGGGAACTCGGCAGGTGGTCACCAATGGTGATCACGTATGTTGTGCTTAATGAATGCGCAGGATTTGCTTAACGACTGCAGTTGGAACTGCCACAACTGCTGTTGTAGGTCAGCGCAGTCACGTGACATTGCACTTTATGACTGCGTCACTTAGCAATGGAGTTGCTGGTCCCAATTACAGCCATTAACCAAGGATTACCTACACACACACATACTTACACATATATATAGCATATATACATGCATGATATGCCTTTATTTTGTTTCTTTTTTGCTATTGTTTCAGTTTGTTCCACTTAATGAAATAAAGGCAAAATAAAAATTAAAACATATTCACGGCCTTCAGGGAGCTCATGCCATAACTGTTCCTTTGTGTTTATGGCCTTAGCTTTGTCGTTCAGGGTCTGGGGAAGGTTTCTCTTAAAAGGGGGCTTATCAACCTTTCAGCAAAATACTGAAGGACTCCTGCCTTCATCCTTTGACCACTCTCTGACCAACCAACACCCGTTCCACTTTCCCACACGCCCCCAGTGCAACTCACACAACTGGTTGAGAAGGCTGCTCTTCCCGGCATTAGGAGGCCCTGCGATCACCACATGGACCCCATCCCTCAGCCTCTCCCCACGGCGGCCATCTTGCAAATGCTCCCTCAGCTCCGTCTCCAATGCCTCGACAGCGTTTTCCACTGTGGAGGAAAAAAAAAGACCGCTGTGAACCTTTTTCCCAAAATGGCAGATGAGTTTGCCACCCCTTCCTCTTCCACCTGCTTCTTTCCAATATTTTCCCCTCCTTGCCACTGTTCTGAAGAGCTTGTTCACCAAAAGGCACCTTGGCATCAGTGAATTTCTAACGGCAACATCTAAAGAAAAAGAAGAGAACAGACGCAGGGGTGCGCAAGTCGCAGGTGTCTGTAGGATGTGGTTAAAAGTCAAGGTGGTGGCCACAACAGTGTGACTGAAGCTCTGGCTGCTTTTAATGTCTGTCACGTAAACCGACAGTGCTTCGATTGCGCTGTCGTGGCCGACATCTTGCCTTTTGTGACCACACCCTAACCACCCTCCTGAGCAGAAGCAAGACTCGCCTTGAGCAAGGACGTTGTCCTCGATATTGTCATCTTCGCTGAAGTCGATGTAAGCCTCCAGATGGGCCAGGGCCTGCAGAGGAAAAGGACTGAGAGCTATTTTTCTTCAGGGGAAAAGAGGAGGAGGGGGAGAGGGCTGCAGACAAAGGATATTTAAATATTTATTGAATATTTGATGGTAGTTCCATATAAATGAGTAATATTCTAATCTAATAAATGAGTCTGGTAGCGCCTGTCCAACTGGCAAATTCTATTAAAAGGCATAAGGTTTTGTGAGCTGATGTGAACTCCTGCATCAGTCTAGTCCAGTGTTTCTCAACCTTGGCAGCTTGTAGATGTGTGAACTTCAACTCCCAGAATTCCCCAATATGCTGGGGAATTCTGGGAGTTGAAGTCCACATATCTACAATTTGAGAAACACTGGTCTAGTCATTCTATGCATCCGATGAAGGGAGCAGCAGCTCCCCAAAGTTTATGCCTTTCAAATTGGCTAATTGGAAAAGTTGCTTCCAGAGTCTTCCTGACTTTTCGCCCCCACAGACCCATACAGGTCTGTTCCTACAATGCCTAAACAAAGAGTCAATATTCAACCATTTGACAGTAAAAGTACAGGCAGTCCTTATTTAACTATGGCAATTGGGACTGGCAACTCCGTCATTAAGCAACATGGCGGTCATTAGGTGTGACGTCACGTAATTGCAGACTGGTTGCCAAGCCCCCAAATCCTGATGACGTGACCGTAGAGATGCTGTGACAGCTATAACCAAAAGGACCAGTTGTAAGTCTCCTTGTTCAGCGCTGTCATAAATGGTCGCTGAATGAGTGGATGTTAAATGAGGACTATCTGTACATTTAAAAACACAAAAGCTATTTCTCCATGAATGGAGAAGAGAGAAGGAATATCTGCCATCTGATGGGACTCAGGAAACGGACCTTTTCTGTCACAGCACCTACCTCTGGAACAACATCCCCACCAAGATGCAAATGTCCCCTACAGAGACCTTGTTTAAGCAAAGTTTAAAGGCTTGGCTCTTCCTTAAACCTTGGATTATGGAGTATGGCAGACCCCTTTTTGGGAATATATGGGGTTGAGGGCTATGTTTTATTAATCTCCCTGGACATTCATCTTTTTTTGTGGGGGTGATTATAACATTTTCAATTCTTTTTACTGCTGGACGCTTCCCAGAGTTATACAGCCAGATGGTTTTACAAATTTGACAATAATAAATTTGCAATGTTCCAGATAATAAAATGAAGGCATACATAGTATTTATTATTAAGCAAAATTCAGACATGAAAGAATGGTGTTCCCTTTCCTTCCTATATGCATTCACACTTTAGGCTTTCCTGCCTCCACTTAATGCCTTTTTTTAGCCTCCCTCCAAATATTTAAGCATTTCTTCATTTACTGAAATGGATACCCCGTTCTTCAGGATAAAAAATTATCAGGTTGCTCTCAAACAGTGTTTTTCAAACTTGGCAACTTTAAGATGTGTGGACTTCAACTCCCAGAATTCCCCAATGGTGGCTGGGGAATTCTGGAAGTTCAAGTCCACACATCTTAAAATTGCCAAGTTTGAAAAAAACACTGCTCTAAGTACCAAGTAACGGGGGTGAAAGAGATATGCACCACATTTTTGGGCCAAGAGGAGCTTCTGCACTTGGAGACTGTTCTGAAAAAGTTGGCAGGGACAGAACAAAAATTACACTTGATTTAAATTAATATGATTATTCTCCATGTATTCATAATTCAGACACGTTAAAAATAGTATTTGCCAACATTTTTTGGAAAGGTTCTGAGAAACACTTCCAAAACTTCTGTAGCTTGTCTGGTTGCCCCAGAGCCACATCCCATCCCTTGCAAAGATGTAGAAGGGCTGAGACAAGGTAGGGTGACATTTACAGCTGACGTATCTCTCCAAGGGCCATTCTGACCAATTTGTATTGCTGTTTCACCGATACAAGTGTTGGCATCCATAAAATGTGGATGGTGTGGTTTTGATCAAACCACAGCAGCATCTGCTCAATGTGTCTGGGCGACTTCGCACAATCTGAGAATGTCGATGAGTGGCCTGAAAGCTTAAGAGCCAGCATTTTATGCTGGATCATTGCTTCCTCTGGCTATGCTTAGCTCCTTGTTGTATGGACGTTTGGAGCAACTCATACATCATTTGGAGAGCTCATGCCTATGACTCTTAAAAGGAAAAGGCAAAATCCATGCCAAAATGATCAAGTTTGGACCCGCTGCTTCTGGAGAACTATTGTGCAGTGATTTCCGTTCCATTTCTGAGCAAGGTTTTTGGAAATGTGGTATCTCAGACAGGCTTGGGCAATGCCAGTTATTGATTTATCCCCCTCCTGTCTTCTTAAATACTAACAATAATTACAACAGAGAATACAAAATAAGCATCAAAAAAGAAATTAAAATAAATGCACACCTTGCCAACAGTTAAAAGCCTGAGAAAATACATGTTTTTTGGCTGTCCTTTTAAAGGCAGAGAGAGTGAGAACCAAATGCAATTTCTAAGGGAATGCATTCATAGTTGGGGATGAAGGAGGAGGAGACCTTCTCATGCTTGCCAGATTAAAAAAAAAGGGCCTGTTCTGCAAATGTTAACATCTGGACAAGTTCAGATGTTGAAATACACCAAAAGGGCATTTTAGAATATTAAAAAAAAATGGGAAAGGCTGACAATTCTATGAGGTAGATGTTTGTGTGAACTGAGTAACTAGGTGCATGCATTGTGTTGAAGCAGCTTGTTTACTCACAGCTGGTAGAGTTTGCACAAGACATTTAACTATACATGGGGACTAGGGCCTCACAGCTAGGAAGACTCCTTCCATTGTAACCACCAACCCCGCCTCACTTGGTAGGGACACCAGAAGGAGGGCCTCTGAGCATGACTGAAAAGCTGAGGCAAGTATCTATGGGAAGAAACCCTTCTTCTCTAAAAGGAAATTAGTCAAATTCTTGGGGGGAGGGGTACTCAAACTGTCAAGGGCTACTGGATAAGACTTATACATATTTCATCTTAAGGTTCAGAAGCAGCTAGCTTCTAAATATCAAACAAGTTATGGTCCCCTGGTCTTGCTTGTGAGCTTCATGGAAGCATCTGGTTTAGCTCCTGCTGGAAGCAGAAGATGGGTTGGGAGGGGTCTTAATGTCCTTTTTATTTCCTGACTGTCACCCTGCATGCAACCCCCTCTTCTCTTCCTTCATTCAAATGCTGTATACGGTTTGTAGAGCCATAAAGCAAATTGAGAAATGCCAGTTTCTAAGACTTCTAAACACACCCCAATCCAGCCTGCTCCTTGCCTTTGTGAGGGTGTCGCTCCAGCGCTGATAGAGCTGACCCAATTCCCCATCCATCTGACGTAAGGCCTGCCGGCGCTGGCCTTCCGTCTCAGCGTGAATTAGGTCTCCTAAGCCTTCAGCTGCCGTGAGGTCTAGCTTGCCATTCTGGAAGGCCCGTTTGGTGAATTCTCCAGGTTCAGCAAAGCGCAGCTGAGGAAGTGCACCTGAAACCAGGAAGAGACTTTCACACTGGGATTCTTTACTGCTCCCCCAGTTAAGAGGTACCCTTCCCTTACACCACTAAAAAATGGCTGTGGGAAAGAAGAATTCCGGTTGTTCAGAAGCTAGCCAAAATATTGAAAGACCCACCCAAAGCATTCAAGACGCCGTTCACCACAGCTGGGCCACCATGCACATGGAACTCGGCACTGTCCTCACCTGTGAAACTACCTGGCCCTGTAGAAAAATAACAAAGTTTGGAATTAATTCTCCCTCCCTCCAAAGAGGGAGCAATAAATTACAAGGTCCACTCAATTCCTCAGAAGGAGGATTCTGCTTCATCCAATCAAGAGTTTTTCTGGTGGCTCAAGAAATACTTCCAAAAACTTGACAAGCACCTCAGTGATTGGAATTCAAGAATAGATCACCCTTGAAATTCAGGGTCCTTTAACCTATCCTGACTTAGTCACCAAGACGGTAAGATAAATTCAGGTGGATGATGGGACTTTTTCAGCCAGTGACCAACAACATATCCTCTGGCAATGATTTAACCACATTAGGTAAAGAAATAATTTCACCCATCCTGAATCCAACTCCAAATAATTTGATCAGAAAACACTGACTTCTAGTATTGTAAGAGGAGAAAAATGTCTCTCTTTATAATTTCTTTAAACAGTTTTACCAACTTAAACTATTTTTCCATTAGTGTTTTCTTTTTCAGGAATGCCTTTCCTGGAAGGGAAGAGATTTCGTTTCCTGCTTGTTTTTGGATCCTATTTTGGAGTATGAATTTGCCCAGTCTTCAGATCAATCTCAAAGACTGCTTTCAGAGGATTAACATGCTAATCAAAGATTGTGGCAGAACAGAAAATGGGCAGTGGAATATGGTAAAAGAAGCAGAGTAGCAATTAATGACCACACAGTCTTATCCCAGGGTGGACTGGCCCCCAGCGCTTAGAAATATGACAGCACAATCAACTGATGTCCATGTATGGCTACAAATAATGACACTATAATTAAATGAAAGGGTGTGGTAACTCATAACAAGATTTTTGGAGGATATGATTGAAAAACAGTTGGAAAATCAGTCAGCTAGTCTGGTCATCTAGCCAGCATGGTCAAGCTACAACAGATGATAGCAGAAACAGCAAGATGTTGGAGGCCTCAATGGATGGTAGAAGAATGAAAAGCTGTACAACTTATGGCCCAACAAAAAAAATGCACATAAGAAGTTGATGAAGGCACCTTGTCATAAGAGTCACAGATGCCATATTTATTTGCTGCAGATCTGATGGAGCCATTTGGAAGGTTAGTGTTGCTAGCTCCATCAGTATTTAAAAACAAGTCACATCAACTTAGATACGCTTCTTACTTAACGTACTCCTTCTCAGGATGCCCCACAGACAACCTTCTCTTGATCTTCTTCTAACAAAACCACAGACTGAAGTTTAGAAGATCAGCGTAAAGTCTCCTTACTGAGTTAGAAGGAATGTTATAGGTTGGCTCTGTAGCTGCAAGGACGGTTCTTTTTTTGAACCTCATTTCTAAATATTTATTTATTTTTCAAATTCGGTCACCATCCATCTCACAAGGAAGGGACTCTGGGTGGTAAATATGAAGTCCATCAAACCTGGTATACCATGAGCTATCAGTCAAGGGTTATACCTTGTACTCACTGGAAGCAGAGCTAGGGGAAGAAAGGGCTTGGGGTTCTGGATTCCACTACTTTGGGTATGATGTAAGATAATCCTCATTTAAACAAAACATCTTGAATGTGGCAATCCATTTTAGATACAGTATCCTGTTGGTAATTAATATCGATCTATCCCTCTTGAGGCAGTCTTCATACAGTCAGGTCCAGAAATATTGGGACATCGACACAATTCTAACATCTTTGGCTCTA